ATAGTGAATTTATTCTGGCATTACGAAACAATTAAGCTGAGATTGAATCTCAAATTGCGAAGACTGCAACTGAATTTAGTCCGGCAGAGCGATACTGTTTTGAAGGAAGAGGGCTGAAAGTTATTCATCAACGCTTGTTTTGTTTGTGTGAGTTCGGCTGGAAAAGGAGTCGTCGATTGACCCTAGCCTTTCAGCCATACAACCCATGTCTCAAAACTGTGAGCAACAAAAGGCAGAAAACTGCAGAACACTGATTGCTCAGCATACCATCTAGAACCGAATGCCTGATCATTTTCTATACTTATACCCAGCTGTTGGATATCTGCTGGCATTCGTTGTAGATTGTAGACAGCATCAAATACTCTACAGATCATGGAAACACCTAATGACACCCCCTATCCCATATTAGCATTTTCCTCAATGACAGAGAAGGAGTGCATGAGGACGCAATAAATCTTACTAGAAAAACTATAGGACCGAAGTTTTTCTTGAAAGCTCTTGCCGAACTCAATGCGCATCGAATTACCGCCTACCATCTGTGTATCCTCCAAAAAACTTGGCACCGAATCACCTGTGACACATCGTCCCAGCTGTCGCTGTTGCAGGGCACTTGCGGGAACGTCATGTGAGTCAACAAAACGAATCATGTTCAACTTTCAACTTGCACGTCATCAGACTTGGAACAACAGGTATTATTTCTATCTGATTGGTTCCATCCATAGGTGTCCTTTTTGTTGGTTTATTTGGGATACACCCTCTATTTATCAACCAACCAGGGATAAAAGGACAGCCATGGTTCCATCTGTGATCTTCATCCACCTCCAGGTTCTACTGGGATTTCTATCTCCGCCACGGCAGATGCTTCACTATGCCTTCGCCAGGTCGCTGGTCAGTATACCCGGTAGGAGAGGATCCACAAGTGACAACTAACAACATACAACAATTAGACATGTTGTGTATGTATGATATATAATTGCAAAAACAATGACTATATATATATAACTACATATAGTATATGTATAATATATATATACGTATGTTATGCCTATGCGGATCCCAGTATCATCTTAGTCTTTATTGGATGGCATCATTTGCGCGGTCGATTTCTTTGATTTGTTGGATGCAGATCGAAGTATACAAACAATTATGCAGAAAAGTCAAGTCTGAACACTTCTGGGTTCATGTGAGCATGTGTTCAAATTTGTGTCGTAAAACCCAAAGAGGCTATGGCCATGTGTGGTTCAAACACGTACGTCCAAAAGTCCAATTTTCTGGGCCAGTGTCACTCTGAGTTGCGTCAAGGGTTGATTGGTATACCGTATACCCAGTATACCCCAACTCATGGCGATCTAACTGGGCAAAATGATGATAATCCATGTCACTGATAGGTCATTTTCAATCCCATATTCCAAAGAATGGTCCCTTGGCAGTTTTTCAATCACGTATACGTTTCGCAAAGAACCATATGCTAACAATCATTTAATCATGTATTGAATAGATCATCATTCACGCTATGCAGACATATGTTAACCATATGTTAATCATGAATCATGGTAATCATATGCAATCTATCAATGTTAATCATTAATCAATGTCAGTATTATTCGATAGATGGCATACGATTCGCCTCTGGCTGGACACACCACGGCGCCACGGCGCAGCCTCGACTCCACAGACTCCACAGCGCAAGAAAGCAAAGTCCACGCGCCGCAGCAGCTCAGGCAACTGAGAATCGTGGCGTTGCGTGGGGCGAGCGCAAGGATAGGGAATGATAGGGAACATTTAAAAGGAATGAACCAACAATCATCAGTATATATTAATATAACCAAAGAAAATGGGCATATAATAGAGTTTAACCAATCAACGTGGGTTTTAAATACTATTTACAGTAACCAACAACAAAGTGGGTATAATGGGATGTAGCATAGAAGAAACAGGGATATACTACCACACACATGAGATTCCACAACAAACACATGCGTTTTATCTGGATGCCAGGGTTCCCACTGCTAAGAAAGTTGTACTGGAGACATATGATGTACATAAAAGAAAGTGCACACATATGTATGTATCAATGTATAATTATTATAATATATTTATGTACATATAAATAATGTTATTTGAAGGTGTCAGTGATCTAGCATGATATTACCTATGTTGTATTCCTTATTTTCCTACTAACCAAGGGATGTCCGTCTCCTCTTGATAGTCCATCATATCCAATAATGTTGGACACTAATAAGGACCCCCAAGACAAGGGCCAGGTTTATCATAACTCCCCACTTGCGACTTGGGATACACATGGGGGGTGCAGTTCCACTCATGAGTTCTAATCATAGTTGTAGGGCTCCATCTCCCGACTCATGGAAGCTTTCCGGAGGGCACCTGATGAACGGGAACCGTTGCTTCCTTGTAGCATCCGATATCTTCTGCCTAGACAGGACGCAGGACATTCACTGGTGGCGGTGCCCCCCTGTGAAATGTTTGTTGGCTTACTAAACCTCCTCAACTGGTTCGGTACATCTATCATAAATCATAACTCCTAGTTATACTCTAGCAACAAACCAGAACCAAGTTGGCTATTTAGGGGGCACCACCTTGCATGAATCGAGCACTTGATTCACATTTCATGGATGATGATAGCCCCCAACGATCATCAACCAACTGGGGCTGTTGAAACTACTAAATTCGGGTCAAATACTTGCGGAGCCTCCCACCAAGCAAAAGGAAACAAAAAGCGGTGAAGGGCGGTGAAGTCACGGTAAGGCATCAATGAGTAACATCTCAATTAGTTGGGAAATCCCTATGTATATAGTCTTGTCGGCCATATCCCCAAGAATTTTGGCTCTATGCTGCCTTTTTCCTAGTTAAGTCCATATTTGGGTGTTGAATCCAACCTTTTATGCTAAGATGCCAATGTGTGTTGATTTTATGATATATATGAGGTCATATATATATATATGATAGCAAGTTTTTCCTAGTGAAAACAATATTCTTTTTACAAGAAACTCTCAGTTGTTTCGTTCAAATCTGAGATTTTCCCAGCGCACTCCCCATGTTTTCCTCTTTATATCCTTAAGTCTGTTGATAAAATGGCTGTCCTTGCAAACAGCACGATTTTGTTGGAAACATATCTGTTGCATCGTGATTAAATCAGGATTTTCGGGCCAAAAAAACATCTCTCTTCATGTTTTTTCATGTTTTCGGACAAAACTCGAATGGGTCCGTTTTGCCATCGCCCCATCATCTGAAGAAACTGATCCGCGCCCGCCTTCTCCACAGCCTGCGACGCCAAAGCCTCCTGCCAGGCTTGACGGCCCAGCTCCTGGCGGTTTCCATAAATGGATCCCCAAATGGATGGTTTATAATGGACACTCCTATAAAAATGGATGATTTAGGGGTACTAGATATAGAAATATTATATAATACTATATATATATATAATATATTATATAATACTATATATATATAATATTATAAAATACTATATATATGATATTACAGTACGTACGTGTATATATATATATATACGCAAATGCCTGGGTTTTGCCCGGACCCGCAATGACGACGGGCGACGCATCATCATCATCATCATCATCATCATCATCATCAAAACCCTTATTGGCGATCTTCAATGAATGTAGAAGTTTAACGGGGGTGGGAGAATTAAACCCTTATTGAAGATCTTCAATGCATGTAGAAGTTTAACGGGGATGGGAGAATTAAACCCTTATTGAAGATCTTCAATGAATGTAGAAGTTTAACGGGGGTGGGAGAATTAAACCCTTATTGAAGATCTTCAATGAATGTAGAAGTTTAACGGGGGTGGGAGAATTAAACCCTTATTGAAGATCTTCAATGAATGTAGAAGTTTAACGGGGGTGGGAGAATTAAACCCTTATTGAAGATCTTCAATGAATGTAGAAGTTTAACGGGGGTGGGAGAATTAAACCCTTATTGAAGATCTTCAATGAATGTAGAAGTTTAACGGGGGTGGGAGAATTGGGAGAATTAAACCCTTATTGAAGATCTTCAATGAATGTAGAAGTTTAACGGGGGTGGGAGAATTAAACCCTTATTGAAGATCTTCAATGAATGTAGAAGTTTAACGGGGGTGGGAGAATTAAAACCTTATTGAAGATCTTCAATGAATGTAGAAGTTTAACGGGGGTGGGAGAATTAAACCCTTATTGAAGTTCTTCAATGAATGTAGAAGTTTAACGGGGGTGGGAGAATTAAACCCTTATTGAAGATCTTCAATGAATGTAGAAGTTTAACGGGGGTGGGAGAATTAAACCCTTATCGAAGATCTTGAATGAATGTAGAAATTTAACGGGGGTGGGAGTTTAATATTCCCTAATATCTTTGTTGATCTTCCCAAATGAATGTAAAGTTTAACGGGGGTGGGAATTTAATATTCCCTAATACCGTTTTTGTTTTTCCCATAGGAATTTCCGGTGTTTTGACATTTTTTATATAGTCCCTAGTACCTTTGTTGTTTTCCCCATAGGAATTTAAGGTTTAACGGGGGTGGGAGTTTAATATTCCCTAATATCTTTGTTGATCTTCCTAATTGAATGTTAAGTTTCACGATTTGAAATTTCCTAGTACCTTTGTTGTTTTTCCCATAGGAATTTCAAATGTTATGCCGTTTTTGTTTTTCCCATAGGAATTTCGGGTGTTTTGACCTTGTTTGTTTAATAGTCCCTAGTACCTTTGTTATTTTCCCCATAGGAATTGCGGTAATTTGCAACATCATTTGTTTGTGAATGGGAAACCTCTACGCTGCAACGCCTGGGCAAAACCCAGGCGTTGCGCGTATATATAGGGTAATAAAACAACCGAACTAATCCTCAACTGCGGTTGTTGAAACTGGCGGCTTCGCCGCCTGGTTACGTGTGCGCAAGGCCAGGGTGGCCATGGGCCCTTCGACCTGGTCGAAAATTGGCCATGTTACAAGCCGATGGAAATTTACCAGAGGGTTAAATGATGGACTATACCTTTGGGCTGGGTAAATTATAATATTTCACTAACCTGAATTAAGGCCCACATACTTTGCAATTGGCCCCTGAATTAAGGCAATTTGGGGATGATTTCCGTTACTAACCATGATTAATATGGTGTTAATATGGGTTAATATATGGGTTATGAAAACCCATATATATATATGCGTATATATATAATTATATATATATTAAGCCATATATTAAGCCATATAATACATATACTATACATTACTATACCATTGGGGAAATATGGGGTAATAATGAATATAGGTATTACGGTAATAATGGACATACATCTAAATGACTGATATAAAAAGACTAACCACATCCACCTTTCGCCACGGTCAAGTGGTGGTTTATAGACGTCATCGGGTATGGTTACCTAAATCTGTCACGCCTTGCGCTTGCGCTTTTAAATCGACCTCAAAAAATGTGTTTCTTTCTTCTTGGGTGAAAAAACGTGGAGGGCAAACCATCCCAAATGTGATGTTCAAGCCCCTCAAAGTTGGGAGATGTAGAGGTCCAATACCCATTATTTTCATGTAAACTGATAGAAATCTCTGGGAACCCGTGCCCAGGTGCTCATGTATGATATCACGGATGGAGCATATCATATGGGCTGTACTTCAACCCATCTTTGTCAATTAAGGCACTTGCAACCATATCAAGTAAAATCTAACTCCCAGCATGCGGAAATATAGGAGCTACTTTACCAACCTCTGACATTTCTTATGTATATATACACTCCATATGTGAAGCATCTTGGGCATCTGGAGATGTCGCAGTAAATTGAAGGCCTACTCATATCTGGGTAAACTATGATAATTCACCAACATGAAATATATTGGCTGATTCCCCACATATACTAATTGACGACAAATAATAGTGACATCAGGGTCAAACTCAACCAAATACATCCCATTGTATCCCATTGTTGAGTGTATCATCCCCACTATACCACCATTTTTTGTTGGTTAAATCATAAATCATCAGTCCCACGCAAACTATCCCAGAAACAGTCCACTGAATCACCAGTTTTTATGTATGCTTCTTACTCCCCCATATCCATACGCAAACTCCTTCGTCGTTAAATGTTTAAGTAATGTCAAATCCCTATGTTTCACCATGGTTAAATCATGATAAATCTCAGTTGTTCATCACCTCTGATGCCTAAATCATCTGAAAACCTTCGTTTAGATATCCCTATTGATGCTTAGAAATCATGTGAAAACGTTTTTTTCCACCATGTTTTAATTCTTTAGAAATCCCCATTGGCTCAGCATGTTTGCTGAAACTCCGTTGCTGCCTTCACGGTGCCGTTGGCGCCGCGCAAGCGCAGCTCCAGGAAGTCGGGCATGGCATGTGTCACGAAGCAGCTGCGGGCGGACTGCGCCTGCCTTGTGGCGTTGTTTTTTTGTTTTTTTATAGGCCATTAATATGAATATTAATGGCTTAATAATGCTTAATATATGGCTTATAAGATGAATGGCTTAATATATGGCTTATAATATTACTGGCTTATTGCTTTGTTTATAGGCCATACCCTCTGGTAATTTGTTACATAGCTATTGAAAATGGCCCATAGAAATCGTTGATTTACCCTAACAAAAAACATTTGGTGATTTTCCAGTTCGCTATGTAATTTTACCAGAGGGTATTTCTGAATATTAATGGCTTCAGATATGGCTTAGTTTACCATGGCTTATTCCATTATGGAAATCCCATCCCACTGAACAAAAAAACAAAAAATCCAAACCGCCGTGGAAAACACGATGTGGGATTTCCACATCGGACCATTTGGAAAGTGTGATTTTTTTTGAGGGGATGAGATTATGAGGGGGAATATCACTGGGGATATTCCATAGAAAACCGGTGGTATATCTATTAAGTCATGTAACATGAGATAGGCACTAGCTATGTGATCCCAGATAGTATGAGGTTAATGAGCCATATGCTAAGCCTATTTTTAACTGGTATTCCACAGAAAAGGTGGTGTAAATGGTATAACCCATTTACTTTGTGGAGTGCACCTCCAAGTATTGTTTTATAACCTCCACTCGTCGGGATGTAACCCCTACAACTGTGGTTAAATAACCCACTGACATGGTGAAACAATATGGTGTTCTAATTCAGAAAAATGTGGATTTCATGGGATTTACACTTGATATATGAAGGCTAAGGGTAAACATTGTGACTCAATCAGCAACAATGCTGAACACATGTGATTTATTTTAATCACGGAAAAACACAGTTAAAGGAGGAACACGGTGATTTAATGAGCAAAAGAAGGAGGATTGATCGTTCATATATTGAGAGCTAAGTTGGTTTATTTGCCTAGGTTAACTTGGTTTATAATAGATATATACTACAGTAACTGTAGTTACAGTTAATTAATGAGGATTGTAAACCTGCCTTCACAGATTGGTTATAGTAGTCCCAGAAAAGATAAACCACGTGAAACATTATCATAATTTTAGGTTCGGATTTTGGTTTCTATCTTTTCTGGGGTTACTATATTCGTTGGCATGCATTCCCGATAAATCAGTCTTTCCTTCTGACGAAGTATTAGGGGCATGATTCTTGGGTTAAGTCCCTTCTCAGGAAGTGATCCATAGATATTGGTTACTGTACCTTCTACAATTCTACAATAAGAAAAACACAATAGACTCACCAGAGCATAGCGGCATAGCCCTTGCCACTTGAAGATTGTCCATGAAAGGATCCCATTCAGTTGGGGTGTTGGAAGGAGTTGGGGTATGTTTCGAATGTATGCTCAAGTAATCTTAGACACGAGGTAAATGTGGCTATTTTAGTACCAATCGATCAGTATTTGCAGGGTATCCCACTTTTTTATTTTTTTTTCAGAGTCCGTGTCTATAAATTAAGGGTTGACTTTACTAGTTCACAAACACCTGGGTCATTTGGACTCATTTGTGATGATTTGGCGGTACCATATGGTACGGCTCGTGAAGATCAAAACTCGTGGGCGGATGTTCATCCCCCAACAATATTAGGACAATAGGTTTTGATCCATCCACACTTATTTTCATTAACACAAAACAAAGAAACAACCTACTTATACATTGATCATGAAAGGCCTGGTCATGTTAGTATAGATGGTGTCTCATGGGTCGTTTGAGGGCCGCTTCTTGCAGGGCCAGGGCGGCTTCTCTGAAAATGAGCATCATGTTCCTTATGAAAAGAAAACCACAAAAAAATCATTGTAAATCTCTCGTGCTCATACCTATAATATCAGATTATTGGTCTAATACTCATATATATATATATATATACATACCATTAACATATATATATATAAATATTATATATATATTTATATCCCACTATATTCCCATCATATATCATTTAGATCTATCAGATTGCTGGTTGTCTACCCCATGAAATCTTCCACACCACGACACTGCAGGGCCACACGTTGCGCTTTCTGTCGCAAGAGACGCTTTTTGGCCTGGCTCCGAGGTTACCTGAAATGGGTATGTTGAAGCTGGGGAATATACAGGTTATGTAGGTTTTATAATAAAATATAATATAGCTAAACTTAGGTTATATATGGGTAACATATTCTCTCAGGAAGTACCTCAGAATGATCTCCGAAATATCCCTAAATACTTCCTGAGAAGGTACGGCTGGATCCGTAGAGTATGCTCCTTCCAGAAGCAAATCGATTCTCAGTAGGAAATTTTCGCATCCTCCATAACGATTCACCACTGTTTTACCTATATATGTTAGCCGCTGTTGGCCATTGTCGAAGCTCATGTTTTTTTTGTTTCATCCACTTTTTGGTTGATCCAATTTCCATGTTTTCAATCTTGAGATCCCATCTCTTGTTGTGAAATTCAACTTTTCCATACCAAAATCACGGAGGAAACAGCTTTCCCTTATGTGGAAAAAAGACAACGCCAACAGACCAAGACCCCAAGGCCAAACAAGTTGAACGAAACACCAATTTTGCCCAGTTTTGCTGGTGAAATCTCATAGAAAATCCCCCTTCACAACCTGGCGGAGCTCTTCCTTCGTGGCTTCCACAGACATCTGCGCCTGCGACACCTGCAGGGAGTCCCTGGAAACTGGGGATTTCAGGAATCAAAATTTGGCAATATATGGGGATATAAGATGTTTTCACCCATTCAAAATGAAGGATTCAACATCATTCAAGCTGGCAAAACAGGGCATTCTTGGAGGTAGATTGCATAAACAACTGCCCAAATTTTGCAAAACAACCTTTCATACCCGTTAAACGTTAAACAACAACAAAACCACATATTTGACAACAATAATGAATAAATAAATAACAAGATAAATAATAACAATTACATTATATACATATATATATATGCAAAAAAAGCAACGAACACATATAAATAACTACAAACAAACAATATATATATATACATGTAGATAGATATATATATATATATATACATACAATTATATACATATACATAAACACATATACACAAGTATAAATACACACATATCCATATATCCATATATACATATACACATACATACAAATAAACAAAAAACAAAGGCACAACAAACACAAAAACACACACACACAAAATATACACAACAACATGATATGCATTAAAAAAATGACAAAACATACACATGTGTATATATAAACATATACATAAACAAACACATACGCATATACACATACAAATACAAACATGTACATATACCTATAACCATCACAACACAATCATGGACATGAAACAATACATAAACATATATATGTGTACATATATATATATACACATAAACACACATATACATTAAATACATATATATATATACACATACACATATATGTAACATCATGTGACCACATACATGTACATATGCAAATGCATATAAACATATCAACAAATAAACATATGCATACGAGCTGCACATGCATTTATATGTACATTCAAAACAAAAACATATACATATAAACATATAAACACAAATCTCCCAAAACAACTTAAAAAAAGCACACACCCATACACATAAACCAAACATATAAACATATAAACAACATGCATCAACATGAATCAGGCATATACATAAAGATATCACCGTGTACATAGATAGAATTATATAGACATATGTGATGTGACCACGGCCGCAACCTGGCTGCGGCCTGATCCTCCAAGTCCTTCAGCGCTTGCTGCTCGGCTTGCAACGCTTTCTTTGCCATCTGGCCCTGGTGTGGTCATCCAACTATATGTATGTATATATATGTGTATGTACATATTAATGTATATGTATATGTACACATGAATGTATATATGAATATATGTTCATTTTGTTTAATGGAATAATTATTACCACAAACAAAATATATGTGTGATAAACTGAGCAATACCAAAAAAACAAAACCGTTCCAAATCGTAATTACAATGTAGGTGGAAATTGAGGACGGTTTCGACACTTTGTTTATGAACAATCCTGCGAGCCCATCGAGGGAAGAACAGTCACATTTTTGGAACTACCAGATGCTTCTCGCGGACAAAAAAAACTTCAGCCTCACTGTCTCAATCACGGTCGCTTCCCAGGATCTACACATGGCGCCGCTATGTGCCGCTGCCCCCCACGATGCCACGATGCGAATTCCCATGGCCGCTGCTGGGGATCATGCGAAACTCCGTATGACAATTGGTTGATGACAAGCAGCATATCATTCGGGCGTAATGAAGATATATTGAGGATGTAAAATATCTAGAACATGTGTTACATGATGGCATACGCAATGTATATATACATATATATGTATATTTTTAAATGATGGGGATATATAATTGTCACCCGCCCATACACTGCCACCCCAAGGAATGGATAAATCAGGGGGAGTTGGCCATGGTTGATGATGGTAGGTAAGGTAGGAAATACAATTGCAATCGATTTGGAAGAGCAATACTCCGGAATGGTCGGACTTTGGGGTATCAGTTTTGGGAAACACCATGCATGTGCTAAGACCAGAAAAGTCTCACATCCACAATGACTTACCTCTGGTATCAAACCAAGGCGCTAGAGAAAACCATGTTTCATTGCACTGCCATTTCCGAGGTCAATGGATTCGTATAAAGCTGCAACGTGTCTGCAATATCTCTAATCATAAATTCTAACGAATCCGTTTATCTGTTTCTAATACTGGGACAGTAACAGTAGCCCCTGTGAAGACCTACACAAAAGCACTAAGACAAACAGGCAAACTGTTTTCAAAACCCACTTTCATCCCTGTATTGGTAGTAAAAGGGGGATTCCCAGTTCATGGATGAGGATCACTAAGATAAGATTAGAATTCCAATATAAATAAATATATATATATATATAATATTACAATATAATTCCCCGTGTTGTTTTTTTACCAGTTGGGTTAGAAAACTCTAAACCATTCATAATTCATAACCAATCACAGTTCGGTGGCTTCAACGAGGCACCTTCATCTCCATCAGTTGCTGATCCTCCTGAGTTTCTTTCATCACCTGCGACATGCCCACGGCATCAAAAACGAGACTTGGTGAAAATCATCATGAAAACGTGACTTACCCTCCGGTCATGAAACATGGCAGTTGAACATCTGCTAAAATGGAGGTTTCCGAAAATAGGGGTACCCCTAAATCATCCAATTTAATAGGATGTTCCCTTATAAACCATCCATTTTGGGTATCCCCGTTTATGGAAACCCCCATATAGGGACAACATCTATACTTCGATGGATGTTCCCTCGCCATGTTTGACCGGAGGGTAAGCCGATCATCTGGATACAAGTCGTCGACCTGGGCAACTTTTGACTTTTCTGACAATATTATTGCATCCATCCTTATCATTGACTGGTTATATATACACCTATCACATATATAGTTTTTTTGGCCTATAGATATATTTCTCCTTCATATTTACGTAAGTGAAGCGTTTGATCCCTTCATTCTATGCATCTCGCAGCCTGCCCGACCACTGGAAGGATAAAAGGCGGGATCTACCATCCCACTTGCAACATTTTTTTGTGATGAACATCCACAACTAGCACAAGGTGGGGTCCCCAAACGATGGCTAAGTTGGTTTATGACTTGCTTAACTAGGGCCTTTATGGGGGATATGGGGATATGACTATATAGTTAATGGGTTTATAAACCAACTTATAACTGGGGGGCATCGCATCGAATTTCCACGAATTTGATCCCACCTGGTCCTGCATCTCCCGAAACCTCTCAGCTGAGCTCATCAAATCGCTCCTGCGACCGCTCAGGAAAAACACATACGTCCCTCAACTGGCTGGTGATGGGAACCAAAACATTAACCATTAAAACAAAAATCACCAACCAGCCAATCATATTGCCCTTATATTTTGACCCCAAACATAACAAATCCATTCCTTTTTACCAAAGAATTTGGAGTGGAGTGGAGGGGTTGCCATCCTTTGTCAAGGTGAACCCGCCTACAAAATGCAATTGAACACAACAAACTACATGCCATTGAACAGTCTTGTTCAAACAATGGAGCCAAAACCTTCAGCAACCCCTCCTCAACATATACTCAAGAAGTATCCAATAAACAGTGGAAGTACCATGAACAGCAGTGGAATATGCCCAACAAAGAGGTAGGAAATGACTGAAATGACTGAGACTACAAAGGAAAGCCAACACATGATCAAGCCGGACAAAAAAAACACTGGTACCGTGCAATGAGTTTCAGAAACACCAATGTTTACCAATTTCTATTCTATTTGCACAATTCATTCCCCAAAAAGATTAGAGATTCGCCAATAATAAGCACTGGTTTAGTATTGGATCTATTGGGCATTTTTTGTTCTGAGGATTGGATTGCGTGTTTCAGCTCTTGATTATGATTATGTTGGTTGTGTTACTCACCCCCAAAAGTAGATGGCTCAATTTCTTGAGTTGCGCCATCTATGTCAAAGGCAAAATGCAGAGGATAGATGGCGCAACTCCCATTCAAAACAAGTCAGTTGCGCCATGTATGTCCCTAAAAATGATCTATTTATTGCAATCTGCTGCGCTGGTTTGCACCCATATTTTCTCCTCAACATCAAGCTGCCTTTTTGGGACATAGATGGCGCAACTCCCACTCATTCGCCAAAATCAGGCTGGGACTGCCCACATAGATGGCGCAACTCCCTCATATCTCCCCACATCCATAAACCAACCTAACCAAAATATGCCACATAGATGGCGAATCTCCTTTCCTGAAGCAGCAATATGCCCCCAAAATCGGGCCTGTTTCCAAACAATTCCAAACCACATAGATGGCGCAAGTCAGGCAAGGGCTTGATGATGAGACAAAAGCCTGTTTCTAAATGCGTTTGCCACTGCCAACCCCCCTCAGCCTGCTGAACTGCCATGTTTGGGACGCGCATGGATGGCGCAAGTCAGGAAAGGACTTGATGATGAGGACACACTTCTGTTTTGTAAATGTGTTTTGCTCAGCAGGCTGAGGGGGGTTGGCAATGAATGTTTAGTTTTTTTTCGAAATATGTTTGTCAAAATATGTTGAAAAATGAGATTTCTATCCGTAAATTCTGTCCACAATGAGTTTTAAAACATTCAGCGGGTCATTTTCAAGGTATCGCAATGAAATTTTAAAAGATTTGAATGTGATTTAAGGGACATAGATGGCACAATTCATTTTTGAACCCATTGGTTTTTTTTTCTGGCGTTTGAAAGGGATTTAAGGGACATAGATGGCGCAACTCATTTTTTGGATAAAAAATATAGTGGAATTAAAATGAATTAAATATATATATATAATATATATATATAATTATATATATATATACAATACAAACATGTGTAATCTACAGTATAAACAAGCAAAAATGATCGGAAATGTAGTAAACTTAGTTAACAATACCCTTATGTCCATCTACCGGAGTGGCAGTTGCGCCATATACCTTTTCATTTTAAACTAAGTTGGTCATCCAATATGCGCTATTTTGGGGTGATTTTTTTTCCTCAATTGGATCTTTGACACAAGCCACATAGATGGCGCAACTCGTTTTATGTTCCAGCCAAAATAGCATCGTTTTCTTCCTCACCGCGCGGTGCCATCTTATGGGTATTTGGGTTTTTGAGTTGAGCCATCTACTTTTGGATCCGTGTAATCCCCTCCAAGATTCCCATAGATATCCCATAAAGATCCTATGTTCACTAGTTAAATTCAACTTTCACCATCCAGAAAACCATGAATACGTGTTGCTCTCATCATATATATATATATCATATTTGACCCCATTTAATCCCAATGGTTTCCGTTACATCCCCTCCAATCTCAGCAAATTCCGTGAAACCCCCTCAATTCCCGATCAATTCAAATACCCTCTGGTAAACTAACATAGCTATTGAAAATGGCCCAGTCGAAATAGTGGATTTACCATTAAAACATGGGTGGATCTTTCCATAGTTACGTAAACATTTACCAGAGGTAAATTGTATATCATATTATATCATCATTGATTTCAGATGGTTATAATAGTGTATTATAGTGTATAGTGTATAATCATAATTGATAATCATAGTTTTATAATAGTGTATTATCACTATAATCAACTGATGAATTCAATATATTTTCCATGAACTCCCCGGCTTCAAAGCACAGTGCCCGACATACACCGTCCGTCGGGCATGCGCCTATGATGCTGATGCCGCTGCATGGCTCGACTCTTCAACATCGGCTCTTGCAAGCGTCGTCCTGCCTGAAAATGCCATAATGGAAGAATGGAATAACAATGGGATATACAATGGGATATATATATAATTATATCTATATCTATATATATATATATAATTATATCTATATCTATATATATATCCCAATGGGATATAGATATAACAATGGGATATATATATATATAGCAATGAGATATAGATATAACAATGGGACACACACACACATATATATATATATATATACTGGTTGGTGGTTTCAACCCAGCTTGAAAAATATTAGTCAATGGGAAGGATTATCCCATATATGGAAAAAAAGCAATTTTTGAAACAACCAACCAGATATATGGATAACATATGTACATATAAACATATTACATGACGTAACCACAGACATATGGGGGCATTGCCTGGATTTTCTCAATGACATCTATGGATCTAAGAGATTATCTATACTTAGATGGGATATTACTTGATATTACTGTTAGATATAAACCTTACTAAATGGGACATATGAAAATATATGAACAATGAAATAACAGTTGGATACTACTGGGATAACAAGGTGATATTAATGGATAAAAATGGATGATAATGAGAAAATATAGGGAGATTGCTTAGAGGATCATTCCACTTAGTAAGTGGTTAATAACTCTATTTTTTGACGTACCTATAATCTATTTATAGACGGGATAACCCACTTAGCTTACTAAATAGGGGACTATGTATATATATATATCATGGTGATAATCATTTGGATTTGCTTAAGGAACCGAGCATAAATTAAAACATATTCCCTGTAGATTCCTCAGCAAATCAAGGGCAATCGGCAATCATCTATCGATGGATGATTTCCCATTGCCATATGGCTGATTGCCAGATGGTAATAGTGATTTCATGGTGATTTCAAGTATTTATCATGTATGGCAAAATTGAACACTTGGGAGATACGTGGGTTTCATAAAATGGGTGGTGACCTCAAAATCGTCCAATAGATAAGTTCCAACTGAAAATCATCGACCTCAATGGGTTTCCCCATGTTAAGAACATAACATATGGAAAATACTAGGAAAACTGCGGTTGAGATCAAGGTCAACTTTCTCAAAGGGGGAAGATTAACAACACCAGCATGAAGCTGACATCATCAACATCCATCAAGAAACATGTTACTGTTAAACAACGCACGACCGACACAATTGACATGCAAGGTGATGCCCCATAGCTGGCTAAGTGGGCTTAGAATTCAAAATTTCTCTTGGGTATGATACACATACAGTATAGATGTATAGTCAATGAGGGGGTATAAAACAACTTGTAATTGGGGGGGAAACCACCTTGTGGTTGTGCCCCCCAGCTGCAAGTTGGCTTCAAAACCCTGGTAACTATTAGACACTATCGATATATCTATATAGCGTAAAACCAATCGTCAACCTACATTTACGGATTCCGAACTGGGGCACTATCTTGTACCGTCTGGTAGTTCAACATAGCTGTGGATAATTACGCATAGAAATAGATGACTATATCATTGATATCTATATATCTATTGATATATATATATATATACACATGGTGTTCCTGTTTTCCATAGCAATGTGAAATTACCTGCTATGGAACCATACCATTAAAATAATGTATTAATCATCATGAACATCACCTATCTCTATGAGCCATCTACACCATAGCAAACTGTTGAGCGACAATTCTCCCCATTAATACCAGTTAACTTCCCCCATAAACCCAAACATTAAGTGCGGCAAGTCTTCACCAATTTCGCCAGCGAAAACGGAAGGCCCCGGTGAAGCACCTGCTTCACAGCATAGATCTCAGGGCCAGGCTCCAGGCTCTGAAAGGTGGCCTTTGAAATGGACAGAGACATGGGGAAGGATGAACCAAACATGGTGGTGTTGAAGGAGATAAAATTGGATATCAACATATGTTTGTATATATATATATATAAATATCTTTACAACCATAATATGTGTGTCTAAAACATGTGTATATATATATACACTATATATATAAGCCAATATATATAAATATACATGTATATATATATATATATTATACGTTAACTACATTTAAACATACGGATTCTATTATGTTAGACAACCTCCAGGAAGGTTTTCCTTGGCCTGCCCGGCGATTTAAACATACGGAATCCAATGTTTATATAGAGATATACATTGATCTAAATGTACGGATGGAACTGGTGTTTCAAACTACCTCCGGGGGCTCGTGGTCTGGCCCGCCCTGCACATATTTAAATGTTGTTCCCGTATATCTAAAATTCAATAACCAGCTTAATACTTAAGTCATGTTTGTTGTAAAACTGGGAAATTAAACATCGAAAAATGGTGAGCAACTGGCATTTAACCATCAAAAATAGGGACTTGATCAATGCATAATGAGGATTAATGCTGTTTAATGATACTGGATATTCTGGTGTGACTGAAAACAGATTCCCTTAAAATGGCTGTGGCACCCTGAGAAATTGATCATGCACCGGTGGATTTGACCTTAAAAAATCAGTATGTCATGATCTTATTTCCAATTACTCAACAGTTAGCATTTTTTTATTGGCATCACTGACGATTTTTATGGACTTCAGCCCACACGTGATCAACAAACATCATGATCACTATCCGCAGTGGAAAGTGAGTCTGTCGGGATGTAGGACCCCGTCTGACAGTTCGCGGTCATGCTGATGCTTAACCCTCATGAGGACACGTCAGGAATACATCCTATGCTAGCATTCCAACATGAAAGGAAATAATCTGAAGAGACTGGGGGCTCTTTAGCTTCAATCTACTGTTTTTGGGGACCAACTTGATTTGAAGCCATTAAAGAACTACTTGGATGTTCACTGCGATTTGCGAAGTGGTTGGTATAGACAATATCCGAGGAAAAGTGGATACGCCCCAAATGCCACCGAAGGTGCTGCCGTCCATTACCAATCATGAATCAACTCAAATAGGCGACTACAAAATCATACACCTTACACTTGGATATTATGGCATTGGCTTTACCTCACTACTGACCCATTTGTTGTTTAATACACCGAACTTGGGCATTATTGATGTACTACTCATTTACAGCATTAACCATATATTACCAGTGTTCATTGGTCATTTTGCTTACCTATTTGCTGATATATCACAAGATCCTTAGTTTTTACTTAGATTTATCAACCATACATGACCCATATTATATATTAATGACTCATCATTTCGGTTCAATGAGCAATGATTAAAATATAATCAATCCAAGTAATGGCAACCAACATTACTTATTAATGAACCGTATAAATATATATATATATAAGTAGCCATATTGACATTACAGCCATAATGACATTACTCATTGGTTACGCAACAATTAAGCAATTGGCTAATATTGTATATACATCCAATATAATCATAAACCTTCCGTAAAATTATATTTACGACATCAACCAATAATATAGGATGATTATGGATGATTACTATACATTACTTTACCCCAATTAATATGATATTTATGACATTACTATACCTTCCATATTACTATCACCAATATTACTATTACTATATCATTACGGATCTATCCCCACGTCCGAAATGGCCGAGGCACGAAGGACTTGCGCCCCTCCGGCACCAGGGACTCGTCGCGGCCGTCCTCCCTGGGACCCATCTGGATGGATCTGGCGCGGAAGACCCAGAAGTGCCAAAAAACTTGGTCCAATCATGGTAAAAACATGGTGAAATCATGGTAAAGTGATGGCAACATGATGGCAACATGATGGTAAAATGTCTAATTTCTCATAACCTCCAGTCCAGTATAGGGTCTTACTTACGTGGTTTTCCATTTTATGATGGTTAAAGCACAATGTCCAATAGCAGTTTGGCGAACTTCATATATTGTTGCTTAAACCAGATAAACCACATGTTTTAGCATCTAGAGCAGTCAAAACCCTCATGGTTGATAGTTCAGCACCATTCTTTGACTATGTTTTGGTCAAATTATGTTCGACTCTGTGTTGGTTAGTTCTCCATGTTTTATTTGTTAAAACAGTTACCATCCTTTTTAAATGATTGAGCAATCTTAAAGCCTCGTTTTTGACAATTGAGCTCCAGATGTGTTTCGCTATAGTTTCGGTTCGGCCACAAAATGATGTTGTTGGTAATTACCGTGTATATGTAAATATATATATATATACACATGTAACCTACGGATCGAGCCGTACCGTCTGAGGAAGTATGATAGCGGTATGATGACTGGGGAGGTCATTAGTATCTTCAGGAAGCACGGCTGGATCCACTGGGATATATGATGATATATGCACATATGGAAGCTTCCATTTCAATGCGGGTACCAAATCACCCCAAATTCGACCACTTTAGTATTGAAACACATGGTTCTGGTGATCCCCCATAAAAAAAGAAACCACCGTATATTAAATATATCCAGCTCTCTAAAATACTCTGACCGCCCATTTCTTAGGGTTAACCCATCCAAGGTTAAAACAATGCCAAAACAAACCCTTGTTGCCTGGGGTCAAGGCCAGATTAATAGACCCTGACTAGATAACTTGTGGGGTCAACTGGGTTCCGTGTAACAAATCTTAAGATTAGAAGCCGCGAATAAACTGGGGCTTTAACAAAATCTGGGGTTGACAACAGACTGGTTCAATTGATACTTTACACTTTACACAATTTATCAAGGATAAACTATGTCCAAGAAAACATCGACCAACCATCATCTATCAACTATGTTCTTATATGTTTGATTGCCACTCCCACTATATTAAAATATGTTCTCAGTATTTTGTTGTGGAGATTTGCTACGATCTATCTTAGCTAAGACTTAAGAGGTTGCTGTATATCCGTACCCAGGCAACAGGGTGTCCCCTACACAGCCACTGCTCAGAGTTGAGCCTTAAAGAATGCCCCCATCAACTATCATCCCTTATCCCATCCCATGAGATATTTGGTATACCGGTTCCTGCATAATTACAAGGTGAGGCTCCCGAACAATGGGTAAGTTGGTTTATTTGCCTCGGATAACGTTTGGATTTATGGGGGAATATAACTATACGATCTACACATAACAGTGTTCATGGGCCATGCTATAACCAACAAACATTTCACTTGGGGGGTGTCAAACTTGTTTTTGACATCATATAATCATCAACTTGCAGTGGCATTTTCAATTCAAGAAAATCAGCCGGCACATCTGCCGGAAACCTCCAACCGATGCCTAAAACCGGAAAAGTTTCCGGTGGATTTTCCCAGCTGTTTCCCAGCGCTTCGGTGCTGTTCCAGGCCTCACCACTCCACTCATGTCCACCGTATCCGGGGAGCGCCGCGGTGAACACTTGGAGGCGCGCGGCCGCAAGGGGCCCCGGCTTGGCGCGACGCGGGGGCTCACGCGGCGACCTGGCGAAATTGCTATAGCGGCGAAAATGTGCAAAAGTTACCACATTCTTAGGAAAATTCGGGATATCTCATAAGAAAAAAATATTTCATCACCACATACTTAGGAAAAATCATTGATGTTAATACTTTCATTTTTTTTGCGGGATATTTAAGTGATGTGTGAATGCTTAGCCCATGGAGTTGGATAAATGGTTGGAAATTGCCCATCTAAGTGGTCCATGGGATTTTCACCAACATTTCCAGGAGATATATGAAGAGAATTGGCGCTATTATTGACATTGATTGACCAACATTAGAGGGAATATATAACTAGCAATCATGTTATGGGGAATAACTAGCAATCATGGGGATATATAAAATGGGATATGTGGATTTGTCCAGAAGTTGGCTATACTCCAAATATGTATGTAGCCATCTTTGCCGGGGAAACACTATGTGAACACCATACAATTTAGTGATTTTGTATGTTTGGACAAATCCATTGAAGTGTTTACAATGCGATCTTCACTGTGAAAAGATAGGGAAACACAAGCGATTGAATCGTGAACAAATGGGAGTTGTATGAATGACATTGTGCATTTCACTGGTTATTCCAGCCACTAATGATAAAAAGGTGTTATTAGATGAGAGTAGACCAACACAATTTAAAGGGTTTACCACCATGGGATTGAATTGAACCATACACGCACACATATTTTAGCCAACTGAATTTAACATGGTTTAACATGGTTTAAGTGATGTGGCGATCAAACATGGGATTTCCAATAAAATTGTGAAAGCTCAGTGGTGTCAGAACCAGGACTTTTTCTTCATCCTGGCTGACTAAAAACCAGGGGGGAACCACCCAAACAGTTATGAATTGCTACTAAAGATTAAAACAGCCCAGGGGTTGATAAAAGGGATTGACATTAAGCTTTCTTGAGGTCCACAATACCCAGAAAAAGACGGTGCGTTGGTTCATCTGCCCAATTAATTTTCCATGACATGATGATGTGACATAATTGATACCCTCTGGAAAACTAACGTAACTATGGGGGTCACCATTTTTAATGGGACAAGTCCCTATAAACGGGCCATTTTACATAGCTACATTAAATTACCAGAGGGTACCCCCCACATGAACTTCTTCCCAAGAGACTGGTGGACGCCAACTCAGGTGAACCCTTGGTTTGCGCGGCTTGACCTTAGTCAATTGCTGTCGTCTTGCTGTCAAAGTAGGTATGGAATTCCCGGGTGTGCGGGTGGAGAAGTGCTTTCAAGACTATAGTTCACTAGTTCACTATAGACCCAAACAAGTGGCTGGCACATCTAACCTCAGGTAAACACTATTTCTGCGTATCTAACATAGGTATGGGGCAAACTTTTGGATACCCGTAGCATCGTGTAGCCATCTTCGATGCATTCGGAATGCGAAGTCCTGGCTTCATAAGATCAACTTCAACATGTCAGATCTCAAAGATGGAAGCTTTTTGGACCATCATTTCAACTATATTAAATACGTATATCTATATACATATATATATAATGAGGAGCATAGGCACGATCATCGTTCAAACAATGCGTCAAACATTTCTTAAGTACCCAAATCATATCAAATTCATGTTTGGCTTCATCATATCCCGATTCTTGTTGATGAACAAACAACTCAACAATATATATATATATATACATACACATACATATACACCTACATATACACATACATATACACATACATATCTACAGATACAATGTACATATATATATATATATATTATCCACGGTTTACCGGTTTACTGGTTTACCATATTTTACCGGGTTGCTTCCAAGATCCCAGATATACCAGATTTGGCTAAGTAAAGAGGTAAACAATCACCATTGTTTCCCCTTGTGTCATCATTTACTCTCTGGCAATTCAATATAGCCATGGAAACATCACAACTTTTAGCGGTAAATTCATGGTAAATCCCTCTTTTTCGAATTGGGCCATGGCTTCCAGTTCGCAAACCCTAACAACTTATGTAACAATTTACCACAGGGTACCTACGGTTTGAGCAACCAACCCTTTTCTCGTTCGTCAAATCAGCGAAGTTACTGGACTTGAACTGCTTGTAGAGGTCCCAATTCTCAGGCAATGGCGAGGTCTCCTGGAAGAAATCCACGTAGGGAGCGAAAAAAAAAACAGCTGTTGGTGTGTCTATACCCTTTGCTTTTCACATCATCCAACTATTGATATCTGTTGATCATTTATCTCACAAGAAACGCTTGTTTGCTGATCTTCCACATCCCAAAAAGAGGACACGGACACGTCCAACACATCCCCTGATGCCCCTGACGGCACCTGATCTGCTGTGGGAGTCCGCATGGGTGAAGCTTGCTTCAACAAGACGCGCTCCAACTGCTCTCGTGACTCATTGATGTCGACATGTTTGCTCCTGGCAGGGTGGCCCGGAAAATCACCGGAATGTTCCCACCCGGAGGAGGGTTATGAAAAGGTGGCAATGGACAAGCATCTATAAATGAAAGTCTTAATGGGAAATTCATCTATAAATGGGATATTGTTTTGGTGCTACGTATGTTTGATTACCCGAGGGTAAATCATCTATACTTTGGACATGTTCAATAGCTTATGTTAAAATACCGTATGATAATTACACATCAAATGTATATGTAATGCAACAGTGGTATCCCAGAAGAGTGCTTTGACCGCAAACAAACCTGCAGCCTTTTGCGGACAGCGAACTAGGGTTCGCAAATAAGAGACAATGGGTATACACATACTTATGTTGAATATATATATATATATATTCACACTGTATGTGTATATATATATAAAGTATGTATGATGCATGATGCATTCTGTATCATATATCATGTACGATGTATCACGTATTATGTGTTTTTTATTGAGAGTATTATTGCGGAAAAGAAACAAAACATAACAGTTAACTACATGTGTTTGCACATATACTTTATGTAGGCTGTAGGCAACAAACCTAGCAACTGGACTAGAATCCAGATACAATGTGGCTATCACCCATCGATCTCAAAAATATGGTCAACAATGCGGTTAGGTAGGCATGTTACAACATTTTACAACCAACCAAACACCGTGAATGACATGTCAAAATGAACATGTTGGAAGCTTGTTGACGAACCTTCGGGAGTTCAGTGACAGGCTCACTTTTCAATGGCCTGGCACTGGAGTTACAGCGATGGGTCTTTCCAAAATATGGAGATTAAACATCTTTGAAACCACCAGCCAGCTGTAATGATATCCATTGATATCCATTTTGTGTAGACAACCCCTCATGTTTGGTTGGTTATCCTGAAAAACACCCGAGTTTTCAGCCATGGCATGATCACAATTTATGTTCCTTTCAGGGATTCTAAGCAATCATTGAAACAATCAAAAATTGTTATAATCATTGGTTGTATAAACAGTATATCCCCATTTTGGATGGTCCCCCAAAGTCTGTTGGTAAAAGAGTCATCATTTCATGGTATAGTTGCCCAACTATTCCCATCATAACTCCATTATATTCCAATTAACGTAACCACTTAGATAATGTTAAATCGCATTTTCTTGCATATATAACCAGTTAAATCATGTTAAATCACCATTTTGGTTGCCAGGATCCTGCCTTTTTAGTAGTTCAATAGCCATGCCCGGAAAAACCGCATCCGAAACCGCCCATTTTCGGTGTCCAACCTCGCGTCCAACTCATCCTCCAGCACCAAGCGTGACCTGGTTCGTAGATGATATGGATACCCTCTGGTAACTGACATAGCTAGTGAAAATGGCTATAGAAATGGTTGATTTACCTAGTAAAATGGTGATGTCCCATTGTTAAACGCAAACGTTTACCAGAGGCTATCTCGAACATCCCCAAACTTGATATTTACCAAGCCCTGTAGAATTCTGCGGATTGTATCTAGAATCCAAATTGTAATCTGAAATATAGATGATTGATGGTGATGGTATTGTTATATAAATGACTCATCTATAAAAATCATCCACCATTTAATTAGAATCGCCTAGATTCTATTGGATGACAAAGATGCATTCACAGATGATATTCATCTTAGATAATATGATATTCCAATACTCAAATGATATTCTGTATTGGTTCTTTATGTCAGAATGTCTCATAGATGAACGATGTTACTAGATATTGGGTTCCGACATTTCAGCAAAACAACCACAAGTAATCATTGGATGCATCCATCACATTCACTGATGTTCATTAAAATTCATTGATAGATCAAACTATATTTAAGTTACTTTACATACATTTTTTAAATAATTGTCATTGACAAGCATTGATAGTGGTTCATAAATGATGTTCATTGTGCCCTATGGATCCAGATATTTCCTTCTCGAAGGGACACTAATGCTGGATCCATCGGGCCGTAAACGGACACATATCATTGTTTACATGATAGACATTGATTTTGTGGCTTAAACAGATACTATAAATATATATTAGTCATTGTCATTGATATTTTGGGAAATAAACTATATAATTAATGATACATGGGGCTTGTCTGAAGATAGTGTACCCCAAATCCAAGTTGCTTACTGTTTCATGACCATTTTCATGCGGAGGGGTTCAATCCCTCATTTCCAGACATGATGTAATATGCACATCAGAAGTCTCGGCCCCCCCCACTTCTGACCATTTAAAGATATGTATATATATATATGAATTATATGATATATATGTCTATGTAGTATTGTATTGTGTATATATAAATATATTCACATACCTATACACTTCGCTGGCCAAAGCCTTTTTCGGTTCCACCATGCCTCTGTTAAATTGAAGGACAAATCCAACAATAACATGAAGACGTCTTGGCCAACTTCACACGGAATAAACACATGACAACCACCCATTACTTAGATGTCCTGAAATCTTGTTTCTTTAGCTGGACTGTTAAGTATATCTATAATTGATTTATATGTTGTTCAATTAGAGCGTATGGTCTGTTAGTCATTAGAGCATGATTTTGTACCGAGGTTCCCCAGACTTCCCTCTGGTAAACGTTTACAGTTTGCTATTGAACATGGTCCAGTCGAAATAGTTGATTTACCCATGAAACATGGTGATTTTCCATAGTTAGTGGCCATAGAAATAGTGGATTTACCCATCCAAAATGGTGATTTTCCATAGTTAGTTTACCAGAGGGTATATATCCTTATATTACATGCTCAAGTAACCGTCATGATGCTCTACCCGGACTCTACCCTACATGGATTTGTCTGGGAATAAAATACCCCAACTCCACTATAAATGGGTTAGTTAGTTTACCAGAAGGTTATCCCCAGCTCCACAGCCAGGCACAAGCTCTCCACATTGGCCGTGACTTCGCCGGAGTCCGATTCCACATGCGCATGCGCCGCGCCCGCGGGATCGGAGATGGGCGACAGGGCCTCATGGCACCATGGCAATAAACCAATGCAGGTAGAACCCATGGGTTTTACTATGGTTTTTCCTATGGTAGAGGTAGAAACCATGGGTTTTACTATGGGTTTTACTATGGTAGATGGGTAATCATGGGCAAAACCTCATGGTTTTTGAAATGGTAGAACCTATAATCGATATGTAGACCCTGAAAGACCCTCAAAAAGTAGGTCAAAAAGAACTAGTTGTTTTTTTGAGAAGAACGGGTTGTTGAAAAAAAAACGTAGTGTTTGCAGTCTGTTGGATTTTCACAATTTAGTTCACGTCAGTCAGGTAGACCTCTGTCTATCAAATTTCTGACTGACATCGTTAAAAAATGGCAACTTCTTTGAATAAGGGCCCCATTTGTTGGGGAGAGAACTACAGGGTAGATGGTATTCACAATTGGGAAAGAATGGGGTCCTAACGGGTTATCATGGAGGTATCAACCTCAACTGGAATTTTCAGTGGAAATTGTCTTATCTATATGGCTATGACGGCTATGACTCAGAAAGCAGGTATGGATCGCTACGCGGTGATCTGGACATATACGTATGGAACGAAGGAGTACAGTTACGCAAATGATCTCAAATGAATTCGATCTCTGCGAACAGGTATGGATCCGGGTTGTGGATCAGGGGTATGGATCGCTTGTGCGTCGGGGGTATGGATCGGGACCTTAGATTTTGAGCTGCGTCCATAGGTATTGACGAAATACTCTATTCTGCAACGTACATCTACAAATTAAGATATCCCTCACTTGCATCAGAATATTCTTGTATAGTGGCCAAAAGGTATATAATTTTATATGTTTAAGTTTTCTTCATTTAGTGACGAGTTCATCACATGTCCACTTCCGATATGGTACACGGCAAACATTTCGCAAGAAACGAGGCAACGAGGCACTCGCTCCTTGGGACCCGAAAGAGCCATGGGATCATTCTCTCCGTTGAAGGTTCGCACACCCACCTTGCTGGTGATGGGACCCCAGGGACTCAGGTAAGCTGATCGAAAGAAACAAAAAAAAACTACGACACTACTGAGGTACAACTCAGGTACAACAGAATATTTAAGTTATAGATGCAAAGTATATTATACGTATAATCGTATTAATTGTATAATTGTTTACTTGTAAAATATAATATATATATATTTAGTTAATTATATTTATATAGTTGCCATATATACATAGATAATCATAGATCAAAGATGGATCCTGACTCATGATGTAGGATTCGGCACCAAGAAACTGTGCTGAAGGACACACGTGGCCGCTTGGGAAATGGCGAAGGCTTCTCGCTGCTTGACCTGTGGGGCCACTGGGGTGGACCACGGGACAATTCACAGCTCTTAGCAAAATCTCACCACAATAGGGATACACCATGATACACCTGTGTTCTTTCCCTCAGAGTAGAGCCTTCACAATTCACAGGTGCTAGAATTTCCATGAACTTCCTGACACACGCTTCTCTGTTGATTTCTTGCTATTCATTTCTGGTTCTTGGTGGTTAGCACGTCAACCTCTCTGGTTAGGTCACAGGGTGTACATCCCAGCCTTCCATGGAGCACAGATCATTACCATACAATAAAATAGATATGGCCGGGGCCAAAATTGGTTCGACCTCCAAAAGCAGGATCATTGATTCTCTTGGAAATCTTGCGTATTAGGAAAACGAGTGGAAACAGTTATGAGGGCGCGAGTGTACACGGAACCTGTAATATTGCGCGAAAGTTGAAGGGGGTTGAGAGATGAGAAGAATTCTTCCTCAGTGCATCATGGAAATCATCGTGTGCGGAAAATAGACATACTAAAACACCTCACCGGTTTATCACGCTCGAAGCCATATTATTCTCTCAGCTTTAATATCATGTTTTTCTTCAACATTTTAATGCTGACAATTATTTTATTCATATCTATCAAAGTCGTTTTTCTTGAAATTTATCCTTTTGGAAAGTACATATCAATGAATTCTTAATATCAACATATTTTTCTTAATTCTTTATCCCCTTGAGATCCGTTCATTGTGATATCTTTTATTTTAGATATACGCTTATTCGCTCATGACATAAATCATTTTCTTGTCGTTTCCAGTCATGTTCTTACTTTATTTTCTATTTTCTCATTCGAACATGTGCAACGATAGTTTCCTTTACACGAACATCATCATGTTTTTATACAACTCCTCTTTATTGACTCAAGCATTTGATTGAACAGTCACTCTTTCAGTTCTTTCTTAATTCTTTAGTTCAATCTGATAATACTCTCTCTTCAGGTCGATACAACCCCCTTATATACTATATACTATAGACCTTCTTTTGAACATTATTCCATACTCTATCTATTCTTGTTTTCTTGCTAATTCTACCATACAGGAAAAATACCTTATCATCTTATCATCATTCACTCATGCCTCGTTTTTATTGTGTTTCTTCTTTAGTTGAGAATGAGGCAAACAGTTTCTCAGTTCAGGTCAGTCCAAGAATATTTGGATGCCCAAAAATGGCTATTGACTAAGACCCTTTGGTACACCGGTTGTCACAGCAACACGGCAAATTTAGGTGCCCGGCCCACATGGCTATGAATGTTAATCCACCTGATGTTGAATCCCTTTTTGGCACTAAAATCTCCTCAGTTTCTGTTGATTGATCACGGCACCATCCTGGACCCAAGTTCCATCCCCAAAGCGATCAGATTGAAATCTGCGCAATCCTGCACCACCAACCGGATGGTTGAAACCCTATAAATACTGGGATGTTCACCATCAACTGCAGGATTTCGCAACCACCGTAGTTCACAGATCGTCGCTACCCTTGGGGGCCCCTCCTCAGGGCACTGGACTCTTCCGCCATGGCCTGGCACATAACGGCCCCCAAAGGTGACATGTCGGTTGATGAAAAAACACATTCATACATATTAATACTATAAATAGATCTATCTGGGTAAATTATAATAATTCGCTAACCTGAATAGTTCGGCCATTTGGGGATGATTCCCCTACTAACCATGATTCCAGCGAGGTCGCAGTGAGGTCGTTATAATTTACCCAGATCTAGATAGTTATGTGCGTGTTATTGTTATAATATGTTATAATTAAGTTGGTATATAACCCCATGAATACTGAAGTTCTGTTCACATACTATAGTTTTTTGCGTGTTATGAACCAGAGTGACTTTTTGGAGTTCACCAACTTAGCTACCGAAGACGGGGGCCCGACATTGTAGGTAAATAATCCCTTCACCCACTCGTATTCAATACCCCAAAGAAACCATGGTGGATGTAGGGGATAAATACACTTTTTTTGTCTGGGACCATTGAATGGGGCTGTATCATGTGAGAGGATGGGATTCTTCCATACATTTTTTGCTGGCAGTCCCCTGGCCTTCGTGGATCTCTGCAGCGAATCCCAATTGTCCCAGCTTGGGAGAAAACAGCAGCAGGACACCATGGGAAGGTGACACCAAAGTTGTCAAGGTGCTGCTTAAATTCAGTCCAGTGTGAGAAGTCACTTGTACAAGTAGTCATTAATTAGCGTTTCCCGCAGCTCGAGGGATAGAGAGAGGAAGAGAAAGAGAACATCACAACCTGTTTGTCTATCATGCAGTTCGGAATTTCTAGTAGTTCCTTGGCTCCCCATTTAATAGGGAATATGGATGTACCTATCTATAGCTCCGACCAGTTCCCTCCTAACAACCAGATAGCAAATATGCATAAATATGCCGGAGTCTCAGGAAACAACGTCTGAGGTGGGTCTTGGGTTGAAAGTTTGGCAACTGGCGAATGGTCAGTAGTAATAAATAAAGACTCAGGCAAGGTAAAAAGGGGACAGAATCAAACAAATCCGTGGAAAAAAATAGAAAGGCTGTAATTATGCTGATTTGAAAAACACGTAGAGTATTACAGCAAGATACAAACTCCTTTACAAACCAAAACTAAGACATTCATACAGCTGTATAACCAGCAAGATTCAACCAGCAACCAAGGGGAGCCGGCTGTCTCTCTGGGTGCGCGGCTGTTGCGTTCACAAACTCCTTGCGGTGAAAAAGAGCGTGGCCAATCTTAGCGCAATGGGGTTTGTCTAAAAAAAATCTGTGTGCTTAGTTTTTGAATGGGACTGACCAATCATGAAGATGTTCACAATTATCATGTGAAAACATTCACTAACACTAAGTACGAAACATTCACAAACATTTTGGGTCTCACACCATTCACTAAGCACAAGCCATGTGACATGTGGATCCCCTGGGCTTCGTCCTGCACTTCCGTTAAGGTGCGGAGGTTCACCAATCCCACCTGCGCGGAGCCGAAGAAGCGAAGGAGTTTCCGCCAAAAAACATCCGAAAACTGCAGCAGAACATAGCATAACCATGGACACTTTTGTTCATACCCATAGGATCCATGTATGCTATATATGGTAAAATTTACCATCAATATACCCCCAATGTTAGCATATATACCATACATGGATCCTATGGGATATCACATGGACATTTCAGGTATGATCTCTTAACAGAATTACTCTTTGTGGGCAAACCATCCCTTGCGAGCGTTGAATTGCCACCACATCGCGCCACAAACTTGCACGAAAAACTGTCCGGCCTGTGGGTCTTCATCGTCCCTGGCAAGTGAGACGACTGAAGAAAGCCCTACAGTGTAAAATATGATGGGCAAGACAATTGTGTATATATACACATTATGTATATCCATGTACATGTATACGGGTTTATGATGTCTATTTAAATATATATATATTATATGTATATATATATATACACATAAACATATATATATATATTAAATATATATATATACACATGTATGGTGCGTCAATAATTATATATACTGTGTTCCAAAAGGCTAAGTCTCCTGGTTGATCACGATTCTCTACATGAAATGGCCGGGAGAAAACATGCGGCAAATCACAAAAAAAAGTGGTATGAACATTTCATTGGGTATCTCCGTATCTCCTGCGTGGATACTGACTTTTTCTGCCCGGACCCAACACACCTGGAATCTGCCAAGTACTGCGCAGCCAACGTGACCATATCTCCATGCACGCTGGACCTTGCGACATGATCCACGGCAGCAACTGGAAAATTCCAAATCCCGAAACTGACTGGAAGGTTTCAACGGGAGAATCATCCAATAAAAGAGGCATGTACCACTTTCATGTTTGATTACCAGAGGTTATCTTTATATAGACAAATATCTCGGGGTAAAGTATATATTAGTTCACTATAACATGAACAAAGGCGCGATTCCCTATACGATGTTATATGTTATAATTTACCCAAATATATCGACTTTGGTGGTTTGTTTAAAATGGGACCATGCTTTTTGTTGACTCACGCCACTGGAGCACACCTAGCACCGTCACGCGAGGACCATTGTACTAGTTGGTTGATAGGTTTCCCTACTTTGGGCTATCACACTCCCCTATGAATTAGGCGGTACAAGTCCCTATATTAACCAATCAACCAAGGTATTTTCAATGGCTCATATGGGATATGAATGTTCCATGATGGTCGATCGGTTTTTGGCTTACCAGCTACACATATTACACATCCATACAAATCCTGACTGTTGAATCTCATCAGTTATTGGATCTACCCGGCTACCCCTCTATGGATCAACCAATGGCTTCACTTTCCAGGAGATCAGGCTTGCCACCTTGCCGCCTTCGCAGCTAGGATTGCTCTATGATCATTCCCCCTGGCAATTGAACAGTTCCTGCTTGTAGATGACTTAGCGATTGAAGATCGAAATTTCGCATTAAATGAGCACTCATCAAGAACATGGGTACTGTGAGCCATTCAAAATTGACCTACAAAATAGAAAAAACAAAAACATATGTAGCTTCTTGTTGTATGCGGCCTCAAGGCTAGCTTGTTTTTTTGCGGGCTTCCTGTCTCACTATGTTGTTAGCTCCTTGGAGGCTCAAGTGATCGGGTCGATGATTTAACCCCTCCCCATCTATCACCAGGACTGCTGCTTAATATCCCCATGATCGCTGGGCAATGTCTCCATATAAATATAATAATATAGATACATACACAAGCCCACATCGCATTGTTGGTACAGAATGGTAATTTGTTTTTTCATATACATGTATATTATATATATACCTGTAATTCTCAGTAATCAATGTTACTATATTATCTCAAAAATGGTTTTCTGCACACAATATTTATATATATATGTATATATATATATATACATGTATATACTTAAGGAGGAACAAAGTTTATGTTTCTTGAAAACTTTACAAAACATCCATCTCGGTCAACTGCGGATCACATTTTCAAGTCCGTTTTGTGTGGCAGGTGTGGTTGGTCAATTATTACCCTCTTTTAAATGTATTATATATATATAAGATTTTAAAGCTTTTGGAGGGTGGAAATGCGACCGGGGTACGACAAAGCTCCATGCTAGGATTCTACGGGGAAAGGGTGTGCAGAAGAAGAAACCAAACATGTTCACTGTGGGAAGCTCAACAAGCGCAACTTTTGTCCCACCGGTGTCTATATATATATATACACACTGTTTAAATAATTACTTGCTGTAACCTTATAGTTACATACATATCAACTTACAGACATCAATAAACAAATATATATATATATATATATAACCATATTACACATATATATATATATATATTCATAAAACATATACATACATACATATTTATATCTATGTATATATATATATATATTGCAATTATGGCTGGTTATTAACCTGCTCTTTTAGTGATTTTTCTACACGTTTCTTGCCACTGTTTCACCGCAACTTGAAAAGAGGCACTGGAGATGCGCGGGTTCGCCGTCCATCCACTGGAGATGCGCGGGTTGGCCGTCCACCGCGAACCTGGTGAAGCTACCAGCAGTATCCCAAGTTGTGGATTATTGTGGATTTAAGTAACTCAATAACATTAAATAACCATAGTTATTGTGATTCTTTGTGGATTTCTGACTCACCATCGTTTGGTTTACCCAATACTCATACAGTATCCCAAGTTGTGGGTGCAAAATCACCATGGCTTTACGGCTAAGGGCGGTGTTTGTGGACACGTGAGAGCTGTTCAAAAGCCATGCTTGGTTGATGATCATACGGAATAGATGGTACATTATAATACATCACAATACTATTTGCGCCTGATATATGGAGGGTTATCATCATCCATGATGTGAATCTCTATTGAACAAACAGGAAATGACGTTGCAACTTTTGAACAAACAGCTCAGTGTTGAATCCCCATGAAGCCTGGGATCCTCTTTTTTATCTCCATACCACGAGTGTCAAACATGGATCTCACACATTGAAACCGCCAAAACCTGACATGAACCTATTCCACACAGCATCGGCCTCCACTGTTCCTCATCATTTTGCTCGCACACCAACAAGGTTTGAGCCATTCGATCTCGTTGTCGCACCTGCCGGACGAAAAACAGCAAAGTGTTTGGAGGAATCCCATCGCTGTTTGTTCCTGTGAGCCATGTGGTTAGTGGCTGATATGTGGCCTATGGCCCACTGTTTATGAGGATGTATGGGATGCTTTTTGCGAGGCAGTTTCCAAGCATCTACCATTTACCGTGGTCGAGTTTTGTTGTTTGCATCAATTCCATTTATATCTATATATATATATATTTATAACTATATGGAATACTGTATACGTTCGATAAAAATGTGTCATCTATATAAGTCTATGTCATTCCGTACTAACAATGGCCATCAATTGAGCCGTCTTCAAAACCCCTTTTGTCGCGCCTTTTGTCGCCGGTCACTAACAGTTGGCGGTTGCAGACTGTTAGTTGTGAAAAGGAAATTGGCCAGTGGCTACCTCTGGCGATGCCAGAAACGATGGAGTCCTTGTTCGGTGCTGGTGGCCTTTCTGATCGGCTGCACCCCTTCCGCCGGGCCGCTCTGATGCAGTGTGGACATTTTGGTAATTCGCGCCTCACCTAGAGTAGCATCAAGCCACAGTCGGATGGCATCTGCGGAGGGATCAGAAAGTCGACAAAGGATGCCCATCGTCCAGCAATGAAACCTCGGGTTGGATGGTCTTCCATCCACTGGCTTGTAGTTGGGGTGGCTGATTCGAATGATGTTCAACAGGTACGCTGCCCAAGAGCGCAGCATCTGTTTCCCATTGTACTCCTGCAACCGTGGGTGCATTCGCCACGTGTTGTGGCAGGATGTGCTTTCCGGCCCCCACTCACCTGAATGAATCTGAAAAGATACCAGTAGCTCATACCAGCTTAGCCATCGAGGCGCCGCAGCTGGGTCCTCAATTTCTCATCCATTCAAGGATTTTCAGCCATTTTTGAAACCTCAAATTGTCTGGTGCAGCTGAGTTGGCTCGCTCTGCTATCTGCCGCAGTTCCAGAATCATCGTGTCAGGCAGCCTGTAGGTTGGTGCTGGGGCTGCTGTCGATGTGGTGATAGACAGCTGCGCTAACCGTACCATATGGGCATGCACGTGGTACACAACTTGCTTGGCCCTTGCAACTGCAATTGACGCTTTCTTCTGTGCACTGCGTACTGTATCTGGGAGCTATGGCCCTGGTTGGTTAAGAATGGGATTCCCAGTTCACAAAAAATGATTCCCAATGGCCCTCGGGTATCCTGCTAAATCAAGCCACAAGGCTGTTGAATCTCTCTATACCAGTACTACTACAGCAAGCTTGAGATGGTGTCTGAAGAGACTGGGGAAGGTCAAAGAATTCTAAGATATGCTGACACGCATAGATATGCATTCTATCTGTGGCATTCCCAACTAAAAGCCATCAAGTGGTACCCCAGTAATCAAACGTGGCTTTCTGGGAAATCCTCCATTTATAGAATTTGAGGTGGTTTTCCAGCTAGCCACTAACAGCGTTTGAAAATTAATTGAGTAAGTCCCACTAATTCATACTAAATCACCATGTTTATATGGTTAAATCAGGTTAAATCACATGGTAAATAACCATAGATCCATAGGGATTTTATAGGGTACCCTCTGGTAAACTAACATAACTATGGAAAATCACCATTTTCAATGGGAAAATCCACTATAAATGGTATCTTTTCAGACCTTGCCCGTTTGGTCCTTGGTCCCAAGACTGATGATCTCCCGCCTGTCGCGCCAAGGCCTTGGCTGAGACCAACAAACAGAGCTGCTCCTCGCGCTCCTCGCAGCCGCAGACAATCAAACAGACCTGCAAAAAAAGAACATCATATCAATGGGATGGTTCCTGTTCGAAAATTATCCCACAAATGGATTAATTACAAATTCAATGGCCATTTCAGGAACCGATTTATTGGAGGTACCTAGCATATATGTTTGGCCTATATAAGGACTATGTAAGAGAATATCCCCCCAAAATATGGCCAAAACTATGGTAGAGTACCTCCATTTTAGGATCTTGAAATTCCCATTGATCATGGCTGGTTAGTAGATATTCCATGATCTTCCTATAGGTTAAAGGATTAAACTAGCCAAGGTTGATGAAACAAGTCAAGTAGGAACTGTACTGTTATGTATTACATAACAACAGTACATCCCATTCTTGTGCTGATTCTCCATTTTAAGATATTTTTTAGGTACATCCCAGTTCAACAACTGGAGTACATTCCAGCACTCCTCAGCTTCCTTCGCACGCTTTTCAGCAGACGCGGTCACCTGTGTCAGGTCGTTGCCGTGGTCATTCATCCCACAGTAAGAGTCCTTCTACCGGGGTATAATCACACATAGTAATCCGTATTGGTGAGGGTATGATCATCTTCCAATATGGGTACAGTATAGAATCCATTTCGTGACCAACATATGAGAAGTGTCACAAACAAGTTGGGAAATTCATTCCAATGCTTGGTTGAAGAGGATTACCATCATGGATTTATGATAATATACAAAATGTTTGTTGGTATACTGCAGGCCGTAACCCCCCGTCATCAGCCAACCGTTTTCATAACACACAGTATATATATATACATATCATCCTGTATCAAATTTTGAACTGGTGTGAAACCTGGGAAACTCAGCTGATTGCAGCTTACCAGGGAGACAGTCAGAAAGGATGAATAGCGGTACTGGGTGAAACCTCATTTGGCACGCTGGACTTAAATCTGGAGATGGCTGGTGGCTTTACATTTCCGAATTCTCATCCCAACAATACTTTTCAATCAGTGCGTTACAAACTTTCTTGTGTATGCAAGGGCAAGTAAAATCGCTTCTGCTTTCTGCTTGTAGTTTCGGCTACCTCGTTTAACCAGGAGCATTGATGACTTGGAGCTCACCACCCAACTCCTTGAGTTGAGCAATGCTCGTAAGATTCCCCATGTCGCACTGGACAATGCTCCACATCTTTACAATCCAAAAGCCCATTGTTTATGGATTCGCCCCACATTACCTGTGTTTATGACATTTGTCTGATTTGTCTCACCCCATTCTCGATCGCTAACATGGCTCCGAACCGCTCCTCGCCACTTCAATAGTCAGTCAATAATTACCTCACCTTTTCTTACCATTGATCGATTTCCCATGGAAACAAATCAACATCTGCTTAGCACATATGAATACCTCATATGATTTCGCCCTTTTTTCAGGGACCTTGACGGCTTCCCCATCAAATTCCCGGATGTTTTCGATGCGCGAACCTCCTCCTGTAGCCTCAGCCGATCTTCCAGGCTCGCGTAGGCTGCTTGCACACGCGAAAGCTTCGCAAGGACCTGCAGGTGGGTAGCCGGGTTGTGGGGCTTTGGGATGGTAGACCAGTTAAACTGGATCTTAACATAAATAAGTAATGTGTGTATATTTACTGTGTATATATATATATATGTGGGATGCTTATATTTATATATATATATATATGCAAATATATATATATATATAAATAGAAAGAAAGAAAGAAAGAAAGAAAGATAGATAGATAGATAGATGGATAGATAGATAGGTAGATAGATAGATACAGTGGGATAATGCATGGATCTTAAAGCATGCTTAAGGGGGGGGCTATTATTCGTGGGACGGGGAGATGGTGATAATGGTGAGCTCATGAAGCGCATGGGACACTTTTCGTTCCTGCTAGCTTCCAAAAATCAACCACGGCAATGGAAAATCCATGATGTATGGATGCTTTTTCCCAGCTATAAACCTCCATTTACTTTGAGGATTTCTCAGGTAGCCGGGTTTGAACATCAATTAAATCCCATGAAATCAACATGTTTGTTGGTGAAATCATATGAAATCCACATGTTTCTTAGAAATATCCATAGGCCACGCTTGCTGTGACACGCTCCCCAGCCTGGAAGTGTGCTGTGACGGTGGCTTCGTTCATCTGCTTCTCAGCCCTAAAGCGGTGGGTCAAGAGACCATGGTCTTTGGCTTTCCCACGTAGTAAAGAAGTACTCTTTGGTTATTTCACAGGTTGCTATGGTATAGATGACATGACCCATAGAAAAAATGAAATAGATGATAAACATGATGGTTTACCTTTCCAAAATGGTGGTTTTCCGTAGCTATGTTAAATAACCAGAGGGTGAGTCCCATGTGTTTACCCGGTAATACACTTCAACTGGAGATTGTAATTATTATTACTTATCCCATATGTTCCATGTGTTTTTCAGCAATATGTGTCTATGAGTGTCCGATAGTCATTTCATATGTTCCAAATAATACTAAAAGTTTCCCATATCTCGCATGTTTTTCATAAATATATGTAAATATAAATATATATATATATATAATATCATATTTATTTGTTCTCGCCGTTATCGCATGATTGCCCGTATCCCATCATGTCCAATAATTACCCCATGATTTCCAAGACCCCCCATATTCTATTCATGTTTGTCCCATAGCATTCCCACTTATCAATTGTTTCTCATCACTATCCCATGCATTTCCCATCAATCATCCCATACTTCCCCTGTATTTGTCCCACAGTTTCAGTATAATTGTTTTTTCCCGATTCTTTCCCATAGCTTTCCCACAGCTTCCATGTGTTCTCCCATATTTTTCCATAGTTTTCCCACAGTTTTCCGGGTGGTTTCACACATGGCAAGCCCCCATCGCCATGGCTCGGGCTTCCCGGGGTTCCCGACTCCACCGCCCGCTGCTGCGCGAAGGCTGCCAGGGCCTGGGCCTCCTGTGCAGCCTGCTCGGCGGCTTCCTGCGAAATGGGATATGGTTGGAAGATTCAGGGATTCATGGTGACTTATGTGGGGAAAATTCTCCTAAATGATTTACAATGATTTACAATGGAAAATTCTCATAAATGGTGACTTATGTGGGGAAAATTCTCATAAATGGTGGCACCCAAAATGATTTACAACCGAAAAAATTCTCCTAAAATTGATGATTTGAAGATACCCGTATTTTAGGGAACCCCCATGTGTATTATTTATTGGACATAAAAGGGGATATGATGTATATGATTGTTTTTTGTGTTTCCTGGATAGGATATGGACATGTTTGACATGTTCTTGCTTAAGTGCGTAGTAGGTATCATGGGGAAATAGGGTGATTGTTGATAGTCATCCTGGACAGAATGCCTATGAATCTATAGGATCATTGTATAATTATGAGATCATATGGATATTTAGAATACGGATATCATTATAATAGAAAATGGGAAGATCCCTGATCTGGGAATAGGCCAAATCTAAGACCCATGGGGACCGCCGATGGCTTAGTCTATGTTTAGTATTAACCATCTAGGTATTGGGGTGCCCAATTTTGACTCATACCCTTATAGAATATGGAGGTTAAAAAAAAAAACGCACTAAAATTGACACATCTTTGAAAAAGCCGTATGCTATCTACTCCAGGATGATTATAATGTTGAATCCTTGCGGGAAAACAGGATTAATGGGATCATCTATCTATCTATCTATCTATTTATCTATCTATCTATCTATCTATCTATAGATAGATAGAGTCTGTAACCAACTTGGGTGGCATTGTCATTCCTTATGGGAATACAATGGGTTTTGATAAGTAGGGTTAGCCAACTTGATAGGATATAAGCCATATGTAAGTGGTGATATTCCATATATATATATATATTTATAACATAATATTGTAATAACTGAGTTGTAATATAGGCATTGCCAGCTTACGCACTTGGATGCGCCCGTGGGAATAACTGTATATATATAGATATATTAAAACATGGTATGTGTATACGGACCATGTATCTATATTATCAAAATGCCAAAAAACACATGTCATATGCTGCATGTACATTCTCTGTAGCCTATCATACTGTAACATCCATTGGAACATCACCGTATTGTCTTAATATAGCTTTATGACATTCAGTATCTGCTGGCTGGCCGATCGGAATTAGAACAATGACAAATTATGTGTATGCATATACATACATACATACATGCATGCATGCATACATTACATTACATTACATTACATTACATTACATTACATTACATTACATTACATTACATTACATTACATTACATTACATTACATACATACATACATGTATATATATATATGTACGTATGCATATCACCAGGAAAGCAATTGGCATGAAACAATAGCATTTGACACGTAAACTGGAAGGCAAGCAATCATTTCAGCACATGTCAATGCAATGTGGCCCCCCCAGTTATGCTAGTTGGTGCAAACACCTAACTAAATCTAACTAACTATAGCTATAAGTGTCATAAACAATCACTTATTGGATTTATTTTGGGGCCCCGGGCCTGGTTTTTGGGGCCCCCAGAAACTGGTGCCCCCAATTTGTGAAGTATCACAGTCATCTCCGAGGCCCTCACAGATCACCAGAAAACCCTATGAATGGTGATGATTGAACCTATTGAATTCATTGAAACCCCTCATTCCCACCAGTGGATCAGAAACCGGTCCTTGGCAGCCTTTTCCTATGGCAGCTAAGGTGCACCCCTTTGGTAATCAAACATGGCAAGCTGGGAAATCTTCTATAAACGGAGGATTGAATCGTAAAATCCATGACAATCATCGTCATTGACGAACTAGATGAAAAGTTCTAGCCCGCCAGGTTTGTTTGCCTGCGATTGAATGGGTAAACCAGCAAAAGAAGTCTGGATCATCCTCCCACTATATCCTGATCCTGGATCGGGTGCCAGGTCGTGCTCACCTTCTGACAGAACATGTGATGCAGCTGCTACCGCTGTCGGGCTTAAAAAAACAGGCACCCGATGTTGTAGAGGTCTTGCCTTATTTTCCTCAAAATTCCTTGCTACCATCAGGAAACTGATCCTTGATTCCAAGACTCTGCTACAAAAAACTCACCATCTGGTAATCAAACCTTGCAGTTGATTCGCCAGACCGTCTTCTTTGATTCCCGCAGATGATAAACAACTGTTCACCAATCGTTTCACCTGTCGATATCTATCATTGTATCCATGCTTTCTGTATTCTGCAGTTGTTCCCATATTTATCCATTGTTGCTGCGTGACTTCCTCATGGTGGCCCATGTCTCATTCATTTTTTTCTGGTGGACCCCAAAAAATCCAACCTTCGGCTGGGGCCCCGTCCTCAGCAGCTTTGGTTTGCAGCGTTTCACGCTCTTCGGCCGAGAGACCTTCGTGGTGGCTCTCCTTGGCGCCAGTGAGTGATTTGGAGGCAAGGCCCTTGTAGAGGAGAATCTGAAATGAGTCTGATTCATTATTGTATATATGTTGTTCCGTTGTTCCCTTTCCAATTGAAAATGATTTGGTATCAAAAATCATATGTGCACTTTTTAAGCAACCAATGCTGCCATATAATATATTGTAAACTGATTTCATGCATAATTTGTTTTACTTAGCCATAGTCATGTTTATACAGAAAGCATCACAATATTACAACTATAACAAACAGTATGTCGGAGAACAGCTACCCTTCAATCCACAAGTTAATCATCATTATAATATCCGTAAAAAATAACAGTTTTCGGGGTATACTGTAAAGTTATCCGTTGTTAAAATCCTTAGTGTTTCGCCGCTGTCACCATTTTTCGGTGGTGAGATCCACATTTTTCCCGAGATCACCATTTTTTTTGCATTAATATCCCTTTTTTCCCTGCTTGTTCATGGTTTTTCCACATCTTTCATAGGATTTTCATGGTAAACTCCCCATGTTTTCCACATGATTCCACCTTTTCCCTGGTAAAAAAAACCATGGCCGCGCCCATCGCGCCATCGGCTCCTCCAAGGCCCTCTCCGCCGCCTCCGCTGCAAGGCGTTGCGCCTCCAGCTGCGCCTGGCGCGCCTCAAAAGCATGGCGCGCCTCCTCCTGGCGGATGGGGATATGAAATGAGTCCCACACTATACTATAGAATAAATGGTATATATATATATATATATTGATATATATATATATGTGGTATTGGGATTGAAATTCAGTTGGGATCAATATCTATATGATAGACAATGATAGATGATAGAAATGATATTGATAGACAATTCAGAGATCATCTATCTATATTGATAGACAATAGATGGGATCACTATACAACTAAATGAAAGACAATGATATATATATATATATAATCGATGATACCTTCTACAGATTTTCTATGATAGACATGGGATCTATATATACCATGATAGACAATGATAAATGATAAATATGATATTGGTAGAGAATTCATATATCATCTATCTATATTGATAGACAATAGATGGGAACACTATACAACTATATGAAAGACAATGAAAGATATTCTATGATACCTTCTATAGATATTCTAAAATAGACATGGGATCTATATATATACATATCATGATAGACAATGATAAATGATAGATATGATATTGGCAGACAATTCATATATCATCTATCTATATTGATAGACAATAGATGGGAACACTATACAACTATATGAAAGACAATGAAAGATATTCTGTGATACCTTCTATAGATATTCTAAAATAGACATGGGATCTATATATATATATATACATATCATGATAGACAATGATAAATGATAGAAATGATATTGATAGACAGTTCATATATCATCTATCTATATTGATAGACAATAGATGGGAACACTATACAACTATATGAAAGACAATGAAAGATATTCTATGATACCTTCTACAGATTTTCTATGATCGACATGCGATCTATATATACCATGATAGACAATGATAGATGATAGAAGTGATATTGATAGACAATTCAGAGATCATCTATCTATATTCATAGACAATAGATGGGATCACTATACAACTAAATGAAAGACAATGATATATATATATATATATTTATATAATCTATGATACCTTCTACAGATTTTCTATGATAGACATGGGATCTATATATACCATGATAGACAATGATATATGATAGATATGATATTGATAGACAATTCATATATCATCTATCTATATTGATAGACAGTAGATGGGATCACTATACCGCTATATGAAAGACAATGATAGATTTTGTATGACACCTTCTATAAATCATGGGGTCTATATATACCATGATAGACAATGATACATGATAAGTATGATATAGGTAGACAATTCATATATCATCTATCTATATTGGTAGATAATAGATGGGATCACTATACAACTATATGAAAGGCAATGATATATATTCTATGATACCTTCTATAGATTTTCTATGCTAGACATGGGATCTATATATACCATGATAGACAATGATAAATGATAAATATGATATTGGTAGAGAATTCATATATCATCTATCTATATTGATAGACAATAGATGGGAACACTATACAACTATATGAAAGACAATGAAAGATATTCTATGATACCTTCTATAGATATTCTAAAATAGACATGGGATCTATATATATATATCATGATAGACAATGATAAATGATAGATATGATATTGGCAGACAATTCATATATCATCTATCTATATTGATAGACAATAGATGGGATCACTATACAATTATATGAAAGACAATGATAAATATTCCATGATACCATCGATGAATCATCTATCTCTAGGAT